CAAATTATTATCCATGACAGTTGTTGTGAAGCTTCATAATTTAATTAACATACGTCGGTAAGACGTAAATTTTCAATGCAATAGAAATAAGTAAACGAGCTTATTACACAAAGAGCATAGCCAATGAATCACTTTAAATCGGTGTAATGAAGAATTGTGAACACTGCGAGAATCGACGCTGCGACTTGCATCCAATCTGCACTCGAAGCATACTTGAAGTAATTGCGAATATCGTGCCCAACTAGACGAATAAAACCACGCTGAAATCATACTTGAGGGTCATTATTTTATTCTTTTCGATGTAATCGTGACCGCAATTTTGAAGCTTTTGTTTTTTGCCGTAAGAAGGCTAGTGGTTGGAGATTCAGAAGACATAGGCTGCAACGCCTCGTAGTAGATAAATAAGCTCAGTGGGATGATGAAATATTGTTGATTTAAAGTTTTATCGAAGTTCAAATTTTCTCTATGAGGTATTTATGGTGCCCCAACCATACATATTTATTTCGTCGTTTTTATGAACTATCTCACTTCTCACGGCACCTATCATTATTTCATTTAGACATTTTTAATATAAATTTTATATGCGTTTGTTAATAAAGGAGAAATGGGAAAATTAACGTTCGCTTATGGATTGGGTTAAAGGTGATTTTTAACTCAACATTCGCAATTTATAATAGACAAAATTCAGAATTGATAAATTGATAAATATTCGACGGTGCTATTGATTTAAGAGATGCAAGTAAAATGTCTAATAATACTCAATCGATGCGGAGGAGAAGATATAATTTTGCGGTTATAGAACTGACTGGCTTATCTCGTAATGACAGTATTCCTCATTGTCGAGGAAATGCCTCAGCGTTACATGGAACTCGAAAGCTCTTATATATCTTCTCGATCCTCACCGAATGTTGTAAAAGTATCCACGAAATGGATTGGGGAGGCGTTAATTAACTCATGGCTGCTTTTCTTTCGGCGTACCCTGTAATGGATTAATTAATGACGCAACGAACCGCTCCCGTTTCTTAAATATTCATGTGCAGCAACTAAAGGACAAGTACGAGTGTCTCAATTGTATAAGCTCTTTTGAAGTATTTACATATTATTTTTATTTTTTTTCTTCCGTTTACACAAGAATATATATTTTCTCAATAATAAATAGAGTCGACATATATATATTTTTTTTTTTTTTTTTTTTTTTTTGGATTTTTGTTGGCTATCAAGATACCTTCTTCGAACATAGTCCATATTCCATACAATACACTAATACAGCTTAAAGAAAATAAAAAATTGTTATTTAGATTATTTTGTTGCGTGCCGATAATAAATTGTGCATTACTATGACGATTATGGAAAACCTTCTATCTTACGACTAAATCCCATTAAAGACTGATAAAAATTATTAAAAATATCGTATTCTAATTTGGAATATTGTTAATATCAACAAACACACACACGATAAAATCTCTTAATGATGACTTAAAACATTATGCAATGAAACATATTTGGTATTGAAAGATTACGGACATTATAATATAATTTAAAAAAAAAAAAAAAAAAAAAAAAAACCCAATGTTTCCGTAAATAAACTTACGAATGTTTTTGAAAAAATGATAATGTTAGTAGAATCTTTATGCTATAAAACGATTAGATCTATCTAAATTTTATTTCCTTTATATCAGACGTCCAAAAATTAATAGATAATTTCTGTGGTTTTGCCTATGCACTACTTTAGCGTGACTAAATAAAAGATAATTATTTCCCAAGCTTGCTTAACTTTATATTACTGTGCATTAATAATTATTATGAAGGTCATGATAACTCATTTGAATATATTTATTAAATAGATATCCGAGTATTAGCTCAAGTATAAATGTTTCTTTTGTGCAACGATAACTTTATGCCGTTACACTTGTTGGTCGCACTGCATGGCCCCATCCCATCCTCTCCTCCTTTGCCCTCGCGGCTTTAAAAACTCCAAGCTGCTACTAATCGTCTGTACATTTCAATTTATGATCCAGAAACTTTTGACTATTTTTTATGTTTCCCATATTACACATGCGCGCGTGCGCGCACACGTGTTCCCGCGAACCGTGAATTTTTGCTTTGATTCGTTGGTAAATAATTTTTTTAATGGACTGTAAGTAACGGAATACAATTCTATTCCCGGTAATATCATTACGAAATATATCAAATCATGTGGGTGTATAATAAAATTGATCGAATAATAATAACTTGGGACTTTCGTGTCAGTTAAATGTTTAAAATTACATAATATCCTTGCGAAACGTTAAATTGTAACAGAAAAACTTTATAACTTTATTTACAATAATCATAAATTTGTCTATGTCCGCTGGAATAATTAACATCGATTTTGAAAGAATAGCGAATAAGAACTATGGCGTAATAAGTATTACATTAATTAAAATACAAAGGCAAGGAACGAACGATCGCGTTAAAAGAAATAAATTTTTATATACTATTAAGAATATTATTATAGCCGTATAGAACATTTTGCATGATTATAAGAACGAAAAATAATAAGTCGATAATATGTGAAAAAATATTAAATACTTTGTAAAGTATTTACTTGCAATGTCGGAAAATCTACATATTCATATATTATAAATAATGAGAAAACAGTGTTATAACCAACGTTTAAATTCTTAAAACATAATGCATACAGATGTATAATGACGAAGCACTGTAAAATACATTAACGGATTTATCGATCGTATTTTATGTTAAATATCACATTATAAGTACATGATAATGCTCGTCCTAAAACGGTACTTCTATCCATGACCTTTCATGCGATATATATATATATATATATATATATATATATATATATATATATATATACACTAATATGTATACATGTAAAACTGGTTGATCAACGATCTGACATACATGTGTAAGTACGCGTAGGTTTGCAGATCTCTATGTGAAATTGTGGCCATTAATAGTCGAGCGAATGAATCTACGATATCTTAATAACAATGTCGCATCAATTTCGTTTTGTGCATTTGTTTAATACCGAAGATTATCGAAAAAATTGCACAATGCTACATAAAAAAAAAAAAAAATAAATAAATAAAAAATAATTTATTTTCATCGCGTTAAACTGTCCAAAGAAGAAACATCTGGACACTGACTTGAGTTTATTCATCATGACTAAACTTTAATAGCCTTAATGTCACTTACCCATTATTAATGTTAGAAATTCTTTAACACGTGTAATCTTGTTTAAGATACCATTTAGACACATTTTTCGGCCAAATTTGCCAAACAACTGTTTACGTTTCTTTATCTACATTTACCAAAGCACTTAACCCCCTTACTAATTAATTGTAAAGACATCGTGTTAATAGAAAATCATGAAATTCCAAACTAATATTACATCAAAGCAAAAAGTCGCTTATTAATTATCGAACACAGTCCTATAAAATCCTTAATTGAGTATTCAATGGCATTACATTTATGTATTATGTTAAGCGCCGAATGGTTCGTATAAAATCATAATAAATACAAGAATAACAAGTCGTTAAAACCAAATCAGCCGCAACCGAAAATACTTTCGATTCCAATCATTAATCAGAATATGTTTTTCCTTCACACGCCCGAGCAAGAACCGCGATTTAGAAATACCAAGGCTCAGGACGCTCTACGTGATCCATGCGCCCGCACGGACGAAGCTAAAAAAACAAAGCGTACCACCGAGCATTAAATAAATCTCGAGATCGAATGTATATTTTTCTCGTCTAGCCACTAATTCTCACGCTCCCGCGTATCTCCGAAGCGCCGTTAATTGACATTTGCCGGCACGGCAAGAGGGATCGGATTTTTCAGTAATTTAGCGGTACTTTGACGTAACATCGAGGTTTCCGCAGTCGTGTGTAATAAAACGTCAGTCACCACCACTGTTGGTCGAGGCGAGTTCCCGAGCACTATGGGCTCGGGAAAATTAAGCTGTGAGAAGAAAAGGTGCAAGATATCGATCGACGATCATTAAGCCGCGTGCCTGAGATTGCTATGACGTTGTGCAAGAATTCACGACACGAGACTTACGAGATCAATGCTTCGCGAAGGAGCTCAATTACGTCGGTGAAATAAAAAAACGCCCTAATACCATACTTTTCCCGCCGAGAAGAGTATGTAAAGCGAAGTATTGGCGATTCGTGTGGAATTCATCAAGGATACGTGCAAGTCTAATTTCCAAATCCTTGCGGGCCGTCGAAAGAGCTCGATTTGTTGCCAGTACAATTTACATAAAGAAATTGCGTTTGCATTTATCCAAAAGCCCTAATACAGACTCTCGCGCTCGGCTATTCCAACAGCTACTATTCGACTTTAAATAGTTCGCCAAATGTAGACTCCAAGGAGCGAACTCTAAGCTTATCATATTCGAATGCGATAAGCTCTTATCATCATGAAATTATAGTAATCTCGCCGAGATAAATTTAATAATACTATTTCACTGAAATGCCTCCTCTTTGCATTACCGTCGACCTTTTTGTTTGTTTACTTTCGTCGTACGATAAAAATGATATTAATCACAATGACGCTCTCACTCCACGGCAACGAGTCAATTATCATAGAACGGTGCGTAATGCTTGACAAAGACTACGGGTAAATTATCGAAAATTCATCGGTCGCATTTTATCGATAAGCTCCGCGCACGCACGCACGCAAACGCACACATACACGGGCGAGAGAGCATCCGTCGCTTTCGCCTAGAAATTTAACGCGGCATAACGCAGTCTCAACCTGGCAAATGCGCGTAGGCCTCTTTTTAACAACGAGGGCGATTGAAGGGTACCGCTGGTGCTCACCCAGCTCCCAAGAACCGCGTCGTTACAATCGGTTGGGCATGCGCTATCTCAATTACAACGACAAGTATAATTGTGTTCAATTGGAGTCGCTGAGTCGCCGAGGAAGGATATCGCGGTCACGTGGTCCGGCAGCTCGCGCGATAAGCTCAAGGAGACGCGAGCACCGACCTGAATGAACGCCAGCGTCCGTGTCGGTCTCGTCGAACCCGGTCTTGGCCTCACCGTCGAGAATCGGCTTCACCATCTTCATCTTCTCCTTCGCCTTCGCCTTCGCCTTCGTCTTCGCCTTCGCCTTCGCTTTTGCCTTCGCCTTCGCCTTCGCCTTCGCCTTCGCCTTCGCCTTCACCTTCACCTTCGCCTTCGCATCCTCCTCGTCGTCGTCGTCGTCGTCGTTGTCGTCGTCGTCGTCGTCGTCGTCGTCGTCGTCGTCGTCCTCCTCCTCCTCCTCCTCCACATTCTCCTCCACCTCCACCTCCACCTCCTCCTCCATCTGTTCCACGTCATCATCGTCCTCCTCATCGTCATCATCATCGTCCTCGTCATCATCGTCGTCGTTCTCCTGTCCCGAGTCCGCGTCGTCCGGCTTAATCGGGACAGTGACAATAGTTGTGTTGTTGGTAGCGGTGGCAGTGGTGGTAATGGTGACGGTGGCGGCGGTGGCGGCGGCAGCAGCGGCGGCGGCAGCAGCGGCGGCTGCTGCGGCCCTAACGAGTTTCGCGCTCTGGCTCCGCCTAATGACGAGGTCCGTGAAACTCGTCTGGACCTTGACGGGCGGCTCCCGCGTCCCGGACTTGGCGCGGACCTCCGGGTCCTTCCTCGCGGCAAAGCGACTTTGGAAGCGCTCGATCGTCTTGAAGGAGCGCGTGCGCTCTACACGCCGCTTCTGCTCCTTCTCGGGCTCGGGCTTGCCGCTCCCCGGGCTCTCGAATATCCGGGTGAGCGACTGCACCTTGCCCTTGGGTCCGAGCATGCCACTGGACTCGGAGCGCTTGGGTCTATAGGTGCCGGTGCTTTGGGCACGGGCGAGGAGCGGCACGTTCGGCGCCGTCTTCGAGGGACTGATTGGATAGCCCCCGGACTCGGATTTGCCCTCGGCCTCGTGCATACGGAACTTACGGGGCGAGTCGCCCTCGAGGGAGACGTAGAAGGTCGATCTGCGCTTGGGCGAGACGCCCTCGTGCTGCTCGGCGCCCAGCATCCTGGGGCCCCGGTCCGTACTCAGGCCAGGGCTCCCATTCGGCGGAAGGGGTTTGGGGGAAGCTCGCGCACAACAACACGGCACAACGCGCGCGTGGACAGGTCGAGGGGGCGGGGGGGCCTCACGTCACGGCCATCGTCCGGTCAAGATGCGCGCACTGCACAACGTCCGCTCGCTGCACGAGGCGACGGCTATCTGGGGTACCGGTGCTTCACCGCGAGCGCCGGTGGCGAGGGTCGCGCCACCTCGTGGTCGCGGTGCGTGCCACCGCTCCGCCACTCAGTCGCACGCTCTCTCTCTCTCTCTCTCTCTCTCTCTCTCTCTCTTTCTCTCTGTTGACGACACAGGCTCCCTATCGCCGTGCATACAGCGCTGAATTGTCGAGTCTCCCCGCGAGTGTGAACTCTTGCATACAAGTAAAGGAGGTAATGTCGCGAATAAAGGCGACGTGACATCTTATCAGTGATAGTCTGGGACGTCGAAAGAAGACAAAAAAATAAAAAAAAAAAAGAGGACATAATGATTCGACAGTCGATAGCGCACCATAAATGACAGGATTTGCAAATTCAAGAGGAATGTTACTTTATTTAAAGTACAAAGTTTTACCTATCGGAACCCAGCGTGATTTCCTCACATTTTCAATTACGTTTACCGTAGATCGATGGGTGCCATTTTATCAAGAAGCTCGAACAATTATTCTTATTCAAAACATCGACAACCCCCTCCCCTTCCCGCCACCAAGTATTCGATAAATATTAACACGCCAACAACGAGTATTAGTAACCTAATGGAACTGCCATTATTCTCTACAATAACCCAAATAATCCAGCGCAGCCTCGAGAGAGAAAGTTCATCATCGTTTATAAATACTTGAAGAAATTGCTTCTGAAATAAATAGGCTCTTTGTTGGTCAGTTTAGTTGCATTTTAAGACTAAAATATTAGCTCGATACGCGCAATTTAAGCCAAGATATTATTCGTAGTTTGAAGCTGCTATTCTTCGCATGCCAAAATAACTTTTCTCCTTAATACTTAAAAATCCTTACTATACCGTATTGTATAATGTAGCAAGACGACGAAAATATGGACCTATTTTCTTCATCGCGAAAAGTACTTATTAAGTGCACATTATTAAGTGATGTGAAGAAAAAATTGGGATAACTACGCTTATAAATAATCAACAATCATTCATTTTAGCTAAAAACATTCATCATTTAGATAAACAAACCTCTCCTTTTTTTTTACAAGGGAACTCTTGTTTCAATTAAAAAGATCAAATGATCGTTGTAGTAAGATATTATATTAATATAGATAACTAATCAATCTTTATATTCTTAGTTGAATTGAAATAATTCATCACATTCAGGCATACTGTCTTAATAAGACACATTGTATATTAATATTAAAAAAAAACATTTATATTTAATAATTTTATTCTTATTTTTCTTATTTTTCTTATTTTTCTTATTTTTCTTATTTTTCTTATTTTTCTTATTTTTCTTATTTTTCTTATTTTTCTTATTTTTCTTATTTTTCTTATTTTTCTTATTTTTCTTATTTTTCTTATTTTTCTTATTTTTATATATGTATATATTGAATTGATGTCTTAAATATACTGAAAAGTTACCGCAAAACAGCGACAGTGTAATTAATAAAAAAAATTGTTCCTGAATAATAGAATCAGGCTTGAATCACATTATTAATCTATTAAATATAAATAGATCCGTCAAGTTGGCATCGCTTGGCTCCGCCGTCAAGTATATTCAAAACCATACGTAAAATTGATATTTAACAGACTTTAGTTAACTTTAAATTGCACTATTAATCTACAATAAAAAATCATAGTTAATAAAATGTATCCATTAACTATTTTGTTAGTCATTATGTATTCTTTGTGCTTGACAGTTAAATGAAATTATTCCAGCTAATATTTCTTCCCGGTTCCTTTAAAGAATTTTCCTGTAAATAGCATTTTATAATGGTTGTCAAGAAAATATGATCATTTATTTCCATTACAAAATTGTTATTACTGTCAGAAATTTGTTACATTCTGTAGAAAAACAGTATAAACATAAACAGAGCCTTGACATTATTTTTTCTAATTGAAATCTACATCTACTCATTAATCATTTGAGTGAATTATCTCCGGCATAACCAAAAGAGACCATATGCACACATTTTGAAACCAAGAGTAATTAACGTACAACAGCACTCATTTACAGTTTCATCCGCAACGACTTTTAAATTATTTTTTTGTCCCATTAGTTCTGTGTTTCACTTCCTGTTACATTCACTTGAACAAAACTAACAAAAAAATGTCTAATATATTCTTCATTGCAAGTCTTAATATTCACATTACAAAGTGCATTAACACCTTTGTTTCATCTCGCCTTTCTTTCAATGTACACACATATGTGTGTGTGCGTGCGTACGTGCGTGCGCGTATATATATATATATATATATATATCCATGCACAAAGCAAATGAGTTTTCTTGGCTTGTTAGACCAAAACGTACTCAATCACGAAAATCTTGTAGCTTAACAGCTAAATTTTAACTCGAGAGTCACTTAATGCTCTTTGGGTTTAACGACACTAACCAAGTGCTGTTCTAATTTGATTTACAGATTTTAAAATGTAACGATATAAAGTATTTCGAGACTCTTAACATAGAGATTCCATTATTATTAAGAGACGATGATTCGATTCATTGGACAAAATTAAGAAAACTATGACATGCTATGGACATTTAACGATTGTACATTTTAGAATACGCGCAAACAGACATATATATCACATTTTTCTATACAACCATAATTATGTGTCACAAACAACATGTTTTAATTTAGAATTTTATGACCCGAAGGACTATAAACTGTGAGTTAATGACTAAAATTCCACCCACCTGGTATTATTGTTTTACTATTAATTTGCATTAATACCAAATTCATTTGTGAATTGTTGGTATGTTTACATTAATGAAAAATAAACAAACCATTTCGAGTAATTCCTCTTTAATATAATTTAATTTTCTTAACCAAATTGGATTCGTCAGCAATTTAAATTTTTTTTTTTTTTTTTTTTTTTTTTTTTTTTGATACGTAACAACGACTTGCTAATAGGTCGTTTAAACTAAGTAGTTCATTTAAAGAAACATTGATAATAAGTGGACTATTTAATGAATACACTAACAGCAAATGGCGTGGTTTCATCATTTCGCTATAAATTATGTTTCGAAAAAAAGAGAAAAAGAAAATAAGCAAACGATAATCTGACCCCATAGGTAAGCATATTATTTATATTATTAAGTAAGTAATCGTTTATATTATTTTTATTAGAAAATTATGCAAATTTTTCTAATAAATGACGTTTTTTTGTTTGTTTTTTGTTTTTTGTTTTGTTTTTTTTATATAATTCACGGAATATAAAAGTTTGTATGAAAACGTAAAATATTGATTTGAATTAAGATGAAAACAGTTTATAACAAATTATGTATAAATAACTCGTTTGTAGCGAACAATGTACGAATTAATTTATTAAAATATTTAATTCAATCAAAACCAACACTAGCATACATGAATAAAATGAAAATGTTTGATTAATAGCAAACGAGTATTCTAAAATAGTACATTTTAAATTCGATATTGTGCATCGATATGTTAAAATGCATTTTGTAAAAAAATTTATCTCCAAAAAAGTCTCTTAACTGGTCGACCTCCACAACAGTTTATACATGCACAGTCTTTTTGATATTCGTAAAACTCCACACGTGACCAGACAATCTTGAACTTTATAATACCAAAAAACGCACGCACGCGCACACGCACACACACACACACGCACAGAGTCTCTCTCTCTCTCTCTCTCTCTCTCTCTCTCTCTCTCTCTGGCGCGCTCACGTATAACGAATACAACAAAGTAGCTTTGAAATGGAAAGAAAAGTTGAAAAAAGACGACATAAAACGAAGAAGCAAAGGTAAGGTGAATAAAAGAAGTGGGATATAAAGAAAAAACGAATAAAAAGAATGATGGACAACGTCTGTAAGATGAATCCTGCTTCTTTGTCACGTGTCGCCTAGACTCGTCGTCGTCTTTCTTTTTTCTCGCCTGCCTCGCGCTCTCCTCTCAAATTTGCGTCTCTCTTCAAGCAGCAAAGCAGTAAAGTGATGCCTGTCCTCTCCCCTTCGCCCAACCACACATACACGCGCTCACACGTGCACGCACACGCCCGCCCCGGGCTTTGGTTTGCTCTGGTCAACGCTTTGGACGACGAGTCGCGCCTGATAAATACGCGCTGCATTTAAAGACACCGAATCATTTGCACATTCAAAAAAGATTTTTATAATGACAAAGGCATGTGTTTTATATGAATTTTCATTGAATTATCCAGTAGGTAAACGGTCTTCACATTTTCACGGTTTTCACGTCCCTACTTCACAGCCAATGCAAGTGGGGGAACATTTAAATTGTATTTAAAGCCATTCAGCCACTTGAGTCATCAGTTGTAACGCATTTATCTTAGTCTTTTATCTTATATATGCTTTATTAAACGAAGGTTCTATAGCTTTGACGAAGTAAAAATCATGCGCGATTGTTCCGAAATGTAAAAACTAAATGGAGTGAAAATCGAATAAACGCAATAATCATTGGATAGGTAAAAGAAATACGGGTGACAAAAGCAGCTTTACTAAACTATACATTATTTCTTCATATTAAAACAAACAAAAAAATAAAGAAAGAAATAAAGATAATATTATTCAAACGTTTATATTGAAAAAAATTCTCTTTGCCTTGGAATAATTTTGAAATACGGAGGAGCAATAATGACCATTTATTTCACACATTTTAACTGATTATTGCTTTGATTATTTCAGTTCGAGTATTTCAATATGCGTGCATTTTCTATTTTTACAAAAGACTCGCGTTCGTAAGAAATTCGTTTTTAAATGGAGGCGAAAGCAGGATAGAGGCTCGAGGAAGGGGACAGCACACATAGCATAGGCTCAATAAATTAATCCAAGTGTAATTCTCGACATTGACGAAACGCATAATCGAGTTCTTGCGGGAAGACGTTATTGT